TATTGTACTTTAAATTCACACTTGACTTGTTTGTTTTGCAATAGCTTCTAGATGCACATGGACACAAATGGGACCCTAGACAATTTTCTTTTGGTGGAAGAAATTTGTGCTCCTGGGGATTGAATGGGTCTTCCTACCTTAGCAGTTAAGAGTACTACATATATGTTTCTGTGATGCGAATTGCCCTTGCCTGTGAATCTCCTGCACTTGATGTTCTTTAAGTTACATCACTTAAGGCCTTTGGAGGACAGGAACTAGACTTCTTTCTGAAGAAGATTAGCTGGAAATTACACACTAGAGATTTTTCTAACACACCTCAAACGTAATTGGAACATGTAATCTTTGGGATGTTGAGAAAGAATACAGAGGTTGATCTTGTTATTTTGAATTGTACTCCAGCATAATTGCCTCTTTTATCCTGAATAAGAGAAATGCCAACACAAAGGTGAACTTTTAAAGCTCTCCATTTCTGAGATGTCTATAGAAGTGCTAGGATTTCCTTTTGCAATCTGAGCAACTTGGTGAGATTTTTGAAACTGCGAAGAGAGGGGCTTTCCAAAATGCCTATGTTATTGCTATGGCATAAGAGACTTCCAAAAGACTTACCTAATCCTCAGTGAGTCATGCTTTTATTGGAATTTCATTTTAAACAAATCATCTTCTAAATTCTCTCCTCTCTAGAGTATATGCTCAGTGACTATAATACTTGTTGTTCTGATATATCAAGTTACCAGGTCATCTGTGGATGTTTTTGAGACTTCTTTTCCTGAAGAACCTGGCACTTAAATGAAGGTGACAAGCAAATGGCTATAGTCTGAAGTCTTCTTTTGCTACTGGAGATTGCTGAATTCACATGTGTTTGCGGGGTCTTGGAAATGACTGACATAAGCAGCTACCACTTCTGACAGCAGGTGCTTATCAGGTCTAAATTTTAATCTCTTAAACTTAGTGGCAAGACTTGCATCAATATGCTTAGTAAGTGATTTGTGATCACTATTCCTCTGCATATACTCTTTTTACAACAGTTTTACAAGCAGTTGGCTCTAGGCTAGTGTAATCTGTCTTTTCTCTAACACAAAAATGGTAATGGCCATTGGATCACATGTGGGCATCTGGTGTGTAAACTTACAAATCTTGATTGGTAAATAGGCAAAATAGCTGTACAGTTTTGGAACAGCCTGTAATTCTGACTGCAGGAATACTAGTCAGTGTGCTCAGAGGACGTGTGTTTTCACTTCAGGCCTTCGCTGTTTCTTGTGTGGTTTTATAATTTTACATAAATAGAAGTCTGATGTAAATTTCTTTATAAACATACTTGTAGACTTGAGACCTTAAATAAGAAGACCAAAAGAGATTGCAACCAAAGAGATTTGTAAACAAAAAAACCCAAATAAACTGGTTTACCATCTTATATAAAAATTAATTGGCACATTGTGCTGTTTTTACCATCCCTGTGTTGAATGTCGTCATGAATGCCATAAGAGCAACTTGCAAGTCTCAAAATGGGCATCTTATCCAATGTGCAAGACCCCACCATATTCACGATCACATGGTGTGGAGAATTCCTGGTGTGTAGGAAGTGTTCTCTGGTTTTGGCCTCACTGAAGGATGACTGTCACCGCACTGTGGGTCCTCTCTGGCACCACCACCTCTTAATGCTGGCACAGCAATCACAGTTTGCCCAGCTCTGTCTAGTATGGAGTTTACCAGCACAGAAGGAAAGCATTGTACTGTAGATTAATGACATTTAGACACCAATGCAAGGAAGCATGAGGCAAAGACCCATTAAGTGAAGGTCACACACAATCTAGAAAATCTGACAGGTCCATGAATAAATTGAGATTTACAACTGTAGCAGGATTAGAACAAACTGGGCTCTAGATACACTACAGCCCTAGATCAAGTGCAGTTCTCCACTTCAGTACTGAGATTATTTCCAGGCAAAAAGGAGATCATTAATTCCATCTGATCCAGACTTTGATGAATTTCCTAACAAGGAGCAGGACTGTATTTCAGATTATATATTCTAAAAAAATAAAGAGATGTTGATGCAAATGCACCATCTCACAAGCCATAGGTAAATTATCCCTGTAGAACCTATGCCTCAAGCTAGTGAAGATCAGAATATTACTTTTAAGAAAGGAGATTTCTTTAACAGTAATAAAGGGGGAACTGAGTCCAGTTCCATCATGTTTTATAAATCAAGAGAAGTCATCTGTTTCTTATCAAGTCACACACTCTTTTTTATCACTTGTGTACAGATTACATGCTAAGAAAAAAATGACCCTTTGCATTATATAGGGTGTTAGATCTACTATCTCAGACAATCATTTATTAAGTTCTCAAGTTGTTTATGCTACCTGTTTTCAATGTGGAGATGATGTAAAGACACTCGTTTGTCAACCGTTTTGGCACAGGGTCATCTCTGCTAGAGTGCCACAGAAATCTTGTAATTTCCAGGACACCCTCCAGAATTAACAAAGGGGCCTAACCTACACTGCAAGTTTTGTGCCATCCATCTTTGAATAGCTGAGAACGAAGTTGCTACCTGCCAATTGACTCTTAAGTCAAAGCAAGGTGTGCTGGTTTTGGCTGGGGTAGAATTAATTGTCTTCACAGTGGCTGGTAGGGGGCTATGTTTTGGATTAATGCTGTACACAGGGTTGATAATACAGAAATGTTTTTGCTATTGCTGAGCAGTACTTCCACAGGGCCAAGGCCTTTTCTTTTTGTCCTGTCAAGCTGGCGAGGGGGCTGGAGGTGCATGGGTGGTTGAGAGGAGACACAGCCAGGACAGGTGACCCAAACTGACCAAAGGCATATTCTGGACCATATGACATCATGCTCAATGTAGAAAGCTGGGGGAAGAAGGAGGAAGGAACGGTTTGGAGTGATGGGTGTTCGTCTTTCTAAGTCACCGTTGTGTGATGGAGCCCTGCTCTCCAGGAGGTGGTCGAACACCTGCCTGCCCATGGGAAGCAGTGAATTAATTATTTGTTTTTCTTTGCTTGTGTGTGTGGCTTTTGCTTTCCCTATTAAACTGTCTTTATCTCAAGCCATGAGTTTTCCAGCTTTTATCCTTCTAATTCTCTCTCTGATCCTGCTGGTGCAAGAGTGAGCGAGCGGCTCTATGGGGCTTGGTTGCTGGCTGGGGTTAAACCATGACAGTCCTTTTTGTCACCCACTGTGGGGCACGAAGAGTTTAAAATAATGACAGATTTGATTTGGATTTGCTAGACTGAATATAAATCTCTTAGTGGTGTTTAGCTAGTAATGAGCAGGCTCCTCTGCTTGCCATGGGGCTCTTTTTCCCGACTGCATATTAGAGTCTAGTTCTCATTAGTGGCTGCTTTTCACTTTCGCTGTTTGCTCTAGTACTATACTGTTTATCACCTTACTGTATTGTGCCTGGGAACATTTTGATAACAGCCATGGTAATGGACCCGGGCTGGCAGATGGCCAGGGTATTGCTGCTGTTTTTTGTGCTGCTGTACTGGACAGGCTGGAACTCCACTGTGAAATTAAGTTGAAGGGACTGTGACATACTGAGTCCGTGATGGAGGAGAGATCCACATGCAGTCCATGGAGGACCCCACGCTGGAGCAGGATTGCTGAAGGAGGATGTGACATGTGACCCTATGAGAAGCCTACTCTGGAGCAGGTTTGCTGGCAGGACTTGTCACCCCATGGGGGACCCATGCTGGAGCAGTTTGTGAAGAACTGCAGCTTGTGGGAAGGACCCACACTAGAGAAGTTCAAGGACCCCATGCTGGAGCAGGGGAAACAAAGATTCCCTTGCAGCCCATGGTGAAGACCATGATGAAGTAGACTGTCCCTCTGCAGCCCGTGGAGAACTATGATGTGGATTATACTAATGGTAGCTTCTAACAGGAACTCCTTTTTACTAGCCAAGCTGGGAACAAGGAGAGAGTACATCAAAATGTTGAAACAGATAATCTGGACAAAAGGACCAGGGATGGGGATCATAATGGATGTGCCTTTCAATTGTTGTAAGCCATGATTTGAGTTGTATGTTTCAGGAATTACTACCACCCAAACCAATGGAGGAGAAGCCTTACAGGAAGCAGTTGCAGTGCAGCAGTGACCTGACCTGAGCTGGCTTTGGTTTCCGGTTACTCCAAGCAGTACACCACTTCTCCTGTCTCAAGTGACCACCATAACAGATGGAGCCCAAAGTGATGGACAAGATGAAGTCAAAATGAAGAACTGAGCCATAAGTCAGGTTTTTGGTATGATTTCTGACTCCCAATTCAGTATTTTAATTGCAAAATAGTACTTCATTATTGAAGGGTACATACTTTGAAATGGTAACTGTGAGAGGCTGAAATTAGTTAATGGCTTAAACATTGTTAAAATCACTGAAAGACTTTTGTCCACTGTAGAAAACTGCAAAGAAGCAGATTTCCACCGAAGCCCATTCCTCTCTGAATATGCCTGCTAATTTGGACTGGGGTGGGAACCTGAGATAAGATAAAGGTGGTACTATTGTCTAATTATCCCAGAAGAATGTACCCACAAGTATGAAAGACTGGAATGCCAGTGGCTCAGACAATCAAGGTGCAAGTTGATGATGTGCAGAGTAATCGCCCAAGTGCACAGGGTATGCACACTCATCACCCCGGGCTACAAGCTGGGTGTTGAACAAGAGAAGGAAAGAGACAAATCCTGCAAGGTAGGTAATGTTTCTGTGGCCTTACACAAATTACTCAACTGTGATTACTCCCTTCCGGGGAAGTAGCGAACATTCACATGTTCAAGGTATTCATCTCTGCTGACGGGTCATAATGGGCTGCAATGGACTCAACTGTGCTGATGTAACAGGCAGCTGTAACATCTTAGAAGGTGTCACAGACTCACAAAATGTCCCGTGAACCAGTATTACATCATCCATTGTAAAACTCTCTGTCCCAGGGGAGGTATTGGGGGTGTTTCCACCTAGCCTAAGCCCAGTAAAAGATACAGACTCCTTCCCTCACCCACGGACCCCTTCTCTCACCACCTGGCTTCTTCCCTCCCTACACAGGTTTCTTCCCTTACCACTCAGGACTTCCCTTACCACCACAGACTTCTTCCCTCATTGCCCTGGTTTCCCTCAACAGTTCCAGACTGCAACCATCACTTTGATGAGACTGGGACTCTCACCACCAAGACCACAAAAGGAGGATCAACGAGATGCCATTGGAATCCATAGAATGGTGATCTTTTTCCTATTTAATCTGTCTCTCTGTCACTCTCTTTCTCTCCCTCACCATGTCTCTTTTCCCTATTTCTTTCTACCTCACATTTACTGCTAAATAAAAATTTGTACTATTGACTTTGGCATAGGGTCTTGTTTGAACCTTAATTCAGGCAGAGGCATCTCTCTAATAATAATTTAAAGAACCTGATCATAACAGAGCCAAGTATTATTTATTTTTAAAAAAAATTGCAATATTTGTTGTACATGATTGGAGGTGACATAATGGACCACAGAAGAAAAGCAAAAATTAAAGCTTAAAATAAATATTTGTCTTTCTAGGTTTCACTAGATGGATTTTAAGTTTATAGACTGAGTGAATATAATACTTATGAGACTGCAGTTTCACAGAGATTTTTTTGATTTTTACTGGTGAAGCTGAATTATAGTACTTGCAGATTTTCTGTAAGTAAAAAGTGTACATTTCTTACCTGTAGATGGAAAGTGACTGCATAAATACAGCACTTAGATACAGAGAACATAAAAGAGTAATACAACATTTTTCTATGTTGTTTAAAATAAGAAAAGATACAGTAAGGGTAGTCTGCAATCAGAAAAATAATTGCAAACTGATTTTCAATATGCTTTAAAAATTTGAGAAATAGAAACCAAGAGGAGGAAAGATCACATGCCAGGAACACAATTAAATTCAGTCAACCAGTTAGATGATCAATTAGACAACATAGCAAGGTCGAACAGATCAATGGTTCTATCTTCAAATGAAAACAACATTTGCATCTTTAAGGTAAGCATAACCTCCTTTCACATCAGTTGAAATTCCAAATCTTGTTAGTTTTGCCTCCTTTTTTCCCTAAATAATTACTTTTGCATTCACCTATTTTGTCCTTACCTGACCTTGAGAAGAGACTGGCTTTCAGAAAGGAGTCGACTGCTGATATCACACAGTTTTCCTTAGAACTTCCTATAGTAGGAGACTGGTTCATAGAACTCATTCTCCTTCACCCTGAAGTCACAGATTCAGATCTATCTTAATTGGAATTAAAAATAATTAATTTCTTATGACTGCTTTTCCGTAGCTTCTTATCTGTCAGGGACAGTTCCTAATGGACAAATACCTGTGTGGCAGCTGGATCACCAATGGCATCTGCGGGTTGTTTTAGGAGTGGTGAAAGGAGTCACTGCATTTACTAGGACTGATCCACCACAGTCTCAGGAGATCCTGTGATATGTGTGTTCTTCTCAGAATCTATAGATCATCTTACTTTGTGTGCAACTCAAAGTTTGCTGCTCTTAAAACTGAACTGAACTTGAAGTAGAAGGTCAGAAAGCATAAAGGAGGAAGAGACTTCTTAGGAAAGACTGTTTCAGCATGGAATAAAAGTGTGTCTTGCAGTATCAAAGGATTTTATTCCTTAAAATAAAGAAGCAAGTCCTCAGGAAAGAGGAAAGTGCACTGCCACTTTCCAAGCTATTTTCAGAATGTGGAAAAGAAGGATCCATTCCAAGGTATGAACCTGAAAGATTCCACCAGCCCTACATTGAACGTTAATGGTCACTTTGGCCCTTGTGTTGGTGAATTCAACAGGGAAAACTTCCAGTCATAAAGCTCGTGCAATGTGGAGATGGTTGTTTTTAGCCTCGAGCTGTACAAAGCAGGCATAAGATGCCCTTATTCTGCCTGGTGTGCAAGCAGTAACACATTGTGTACAGTAAAGACAAGAAAAGCCAGATTTGTCATTCTTACACTTGAGAAATTTGGGGAATGCTTCTTAAATCATAATTCTTGTGAAACAACTTATTTCAAAAAGAATAACTGATATTTCTGGTGATTATGACAATATTGTCTACAGTAAACTAACCCCCTCAGAATCTAAATATTGTGCTGTTCATTTACCCCAGGGAAGAAAACCAGCTGGAGCCACAGCTGCACTTGCAGCAGATGTCAAAGCCATACTGCTCATTGCCTTTAGGTGTGTATGAAAAATCCTATTTACATGGAGAAGCAAGACACTAATATGATGGTGTCTGAGCTATGGAAACTAAAAGCTAGCATTCATTGATGAAGGTCAAATGAAATACAATTCAACTGTTTGGGTCTAGTAAATATAATAGTAAGTTAAGCTGATACACAAATGCATCAATTCTGCAAAACAGAAGTGAAAATTTAAACTCAAATCTTTACTGCAAGGCTTTGTCTTCCTATTAGTCTGGAAGGGCGTGATTGTGAATAGCCTTCTCTGGGTATATAAGCTGTGAAAATGCATGGTGAAATGTGCCATCAATGCCTCAGGAATTGTGTGCAATTACAATGTATAGGACAAAAATTAGTTAATTACAAAATCATACTCAAATCCTGTTTCCTGCTCCCCACAAGCAAAGCTGCCTTTGTTTAATCTTTAGGTTTGGTTTGTAAGTTAGAAGTCACAAGGAAAGCTACAAATTTTGGTGGGGAACAGAAGTACAAGGACACACATTTTTCTGGCTGGCAGTATGTAGGTGTAAAGGGATCCAAAGGCACTCTGAGTTCTGGGAAGAAAAGTCTTGGGAAAGGCTCAAAATACTGCAATTCAGAGCAGCTGTGGGATGTGAGAATGCTGGGATTTTCTCAACCTGCTTCCTGTCACTTGTTTTTTAGCTGCTTTGCAAAGTCTAAGTTTCGGTGATTGCTGTCCTCAGCTGTCCTTGGCATTATGTCTTATTGACAAAACTGGTAGGAAGCAGCCAAGCTCCCTCTTTCTGTCCGCAGTTGCATGTCCCAGGTCAGGGCTCAAAGGCGAATTTGCTCAGCGCTGACAGGAGCAGTATGCAGAGAGTTCATTACTTGCTGTGAGTCACCCACCCAAGCTGCCAGAGAGAAAAAGATCCTTTGTATTTTCTGCCTGCTCCTGGTTCTTGTTGCTGTTGTGAGACAGGAAAAACAAGGCATCCTTTGACTCCGTTTTTATTTTTAGATGCATTTCCTCCTCTTGCTTTATTCAGTATTTGACATCTATAAAGCACTGGGATACAACTGCCTTTTTTACTGCTTTCACAGATAGACTAGATTCCCAGAAGTGTTTGGAAGGAACCTGTGGATGCCATCTACCCCATCTCCTGCTTGAAGCAGAACTTGTCCTGGAACTATATCAGATCAGCTGTGACTTTGTCTAGCCAAGTCTGGAAAAATTCCAGGGATGAGGTCCCTCTGCCTTTCTCAGCACGTGCAGTGTAACATGAGTAGAAACAGAAGCTGAACATAGTCTTTCCTTTTCCACAAGTTTTCTGCTTAGTAGGAATACAATCAGCAGAGGAGTAACTTGTTTTTCAAATCAGGAAACTAAATTTGCAGCAGTTAACCTTTTTGATACAAAGTAAATCATACTGTAAAGTGGTTTGTGTTGTAATGTCTTGATTCTCATGAAGCATCAACTTTTAGAATCATATCAACTAAGAATATCATCTTACTCTGCTTTATGTGTAAGTTTGTAATGGTATTGATTGCAGAAATGTAGTGTAAAATGTAGCTTCAGCATATTTCAAATTTAATACTGCCCTTTCACGAAGCAGAAGAAAATGCTCACCTGTGACCAAGCAGGAATTTTCCAGCTGTTTGGGGCTTTGAGGGAATCCAGAGATGGTAGTGAAATGCTTCAACAGGTGTTGTTAATGAATAGGTGCTGGAGCAAAGGATCATAAAGCAGCAGTTCTTATTTCTACCCTAAGGTGTAAATAGTGGTAGGCTTGCAGCAGGTACTTGAAGGAGTGCTTACCTCTCCCTGATAGGACTGGAGCCTCTGGCACAGTTATTTTATGTTCTTCTCCATTTCCTCTCAACCCACAGCAAAGGTTTTCTGAGAAGTAATTATAACAGGATTACTGTGTGGTGGCAGTAAATGTGCTTATTTGCAGTGTGACTAGAGAAGATGGAGTTGGGAGAGTAGGGGAATATTCCATTGGATTGTCTGAATTCACAAAATTCTGAGTAAGGGTTGATTGAGTTGGTTATTTTTACTTAAGGCTAGTTCCCTAATCATGTTGCAGAAATACAGAGGAAGACCTGAGGGTGATGGAGAGCAAATGAGACAGGAGTTCACAATGTGATGAAGTTGCAAAAAATTAGTATTGTACCAGATATATAAATAGGATATGACTTTTAAGGACTGGAAAATAATTCTGCTTCATGCAGCTTTGCTTACACTTGCAAATGCTATGTTCAGGCTTAAATATATTTTGGAAATTTGATGGAATCCTGGACAGCTGACAGTAATCCTAAGGTTTTGGGGAATCATTCCCATGGAATTAAAAAGGAATTTAAGTCTAAAAAGAAAAAGCTGAGCTACACTCTGTTCCTTGTCCTGGAATAACCTATGATATTTCAGTCATGTAAGACAATTGCTGATGTAAAACAAAGGGAATGTCCTGAAATTAAAATAACTGTCCCACTATTTAATTCTAAATGAGCTTTGGTGATTTGCCCTCTTTCAAGAGTGGCTTCATATACAATTTTAGGCCAGTGAAGCATTTCCTGCATCACTGAAAATTGTCAGATGCATCAGAACAAGGATAGTGGTAGGCACTAAACTCCCCCGTATCAGCTTGTCTGCCAGCATGTCTTAAAATACAAGTTATTCTTTTCCATAATTTTACATGTGAGTTACTACTTCTAAGCAAACATAAATAAAGAATGCAGATTTCTTTCCATGTATAGCCATGCACAGAGATATCAGTATATTTCAATCATGAAATGTGCTTTATCTAAAAACATGGGTCTAGAAATGAGTATTAGTAGAGCAGCAGATTTCTAAAGACCAATATGTTTGCTAGCTCGAGGTATGTAACCATTGGCTTAGGATAGGAAGATGTTAACATCCTCAATTAAAAACAGGCAAACAGCTGATGATGTAACTAGGAGTTGCCAGACTGAATGCATCTACCAACTCCAAACAGCTTCAAAGTTTCCATAGGCTGTTTGTTTACTGTAGTTTTAGTATGTAATGCATAAAAATACTGGATGTGTCTATAACATGAGGCCAAAAAAAAAAAAGTCTAAGCTCTATAGCTGCCCAACTGCTTTACAAGTCATTTGGGAAAAGCAGAGCCTTACCTAGTGTGATCTCTGTCCTTGGATCACATCTCTAATGCATCTTCTGTAGATAGAAACATCATGGGTGTCAAATACCAACAGGGTGCCTGGTACATTTTGATGCTGCTTTAATGTATGAGTAGAGTCTGCATGGCTAATTCCAAGAAAAACATATAGTCTTTAAATTGCATGCTATTGTAACCCAATTTTGCTCCGAACTAGGAGAATCTGAAAAAAATCGATAACTGGAAGTGAAAATCTTTTCTTCTAGGCCTAAATGGTTAGTAAAAAATCATCTCTTATTAAATATCCATCATATCTTATCATATCTTATCAAATGAGAGAAATAAAAGAAGCTATTTTTATGAGTAGTCTCTACATAAGAAAAGGACAAAGCTGAAAAGCTGAACAAAATTTTAGTTACTAGCTGCTCCTTTTGAGGAGGATATTTTTCCCTAGGAAACAAATATTTATGAACATAATCAATCATAAGCTTTCTTTAATTTTATTTGGAGAGAGACGTAACATTTATGTCAGATGCATTCAAGCTCTGCTGCCATCCTTTTTCCAGCATTTCCTCTATTACACACAAGCTACAGGAAAGCCAGGGATAATACTGTGAAAGATCTGTTTCTGATGATATGAGTGGGAGCTTGCAGAAACTAAGTGTTGTTGCTCCTTGTTGTTTTCGTGCCCTTGAGTTGCCTATGCATGCCTGCTGATGGCTGAATCCCAGATAGGGGGGTTGTTCTCCTGACTTCTTCAGTGCTGTCACAAATACATCTCATAAAGTACAGAAATTTCCATGAGCACATGACTGGTCTTGCCTTCACAGTTTTACTTCTCTCCCCCAAATAAATACATTAAGTTCAAGATCACCTTCCTCTTCTATAAGGCCCTTAAAAACATTTTATGGTATGCATCTGGGTTAAGACAGCAGCTGTCAGCTCAGGTACAATGAATCTGACTATCAGAACAGAAAAGTCAGGGGATGAGGCAGCACTTTCCTGGAGACTGATTCAGGATCACTTCTGATCTCATTACTCTGCGTACCAGACGGATGAGGAACTTGAGGCCTGCCTTCATGTATAAAAGCTCATGGACTTGATGTTGAAGGAATGTATATAGAACTTCATGACAGATGCTGTGGGTTGTGTTTTTTTTCTCTTCCTTGCTCTGTTAAGATTTGAAAGCATGGCACGAAAAATGGCATGGAAACCTGAATGGTGCTGCATAGCCAGGGCTGCTGTTAATGCAAATTGTCTTTTTCCAGAGGCCTGGTCCAAGGCAGAAGTAAGGCTTTTATTCTTACATACGTATGTATAAATATCATCTATGTACATGGATGTATCTTTCTCCCCCTTCACTGTTCATTTTCCTGAGGTCCTTGTGTCCTGCAGGGCAAGTCTGGATGAGGACCATAAAGATCTGTTTCTTTGGGTTTAAGCCTTTTCATATGGATCTTTTTCTGAACATTGCCTCATAGTAATTCCTTGTCCTTTGACACAAATAATATGCCGCTATTTGGAGGCTCTTCTGGCTTCTTTCTGTCACTAGCAGAATTTGATAATCCTTGGTATTTATTCATTGCAACTTTGTTAGCTTAATTCCTCTAACACAGTATATAAATAGACCTCCACAACCAACTTTTTAACCTATGTTAGCCAAGTCGGACTTTCCAACTGGTTCTGTAAAACACTAAGCCCTGCATTTGCTCCCAGTGAACACAACTTGTGCTGTCTGCTAGGTTCCTCTAAGTGCTTTGGTTTCTCTCAGCACTTAATAATGCAGAGCTCAAAACATCTATGCCTCTACCCATTACCTTGCAATCAACTGAGAAATCAGAGAAGCCTTTTGACTGAACTGGCTTAACTGCTTACCATACTGACTTTAACCTTGGGCAGGAGTTTCTGTTTCAGGTGTCATCACACATGGGAATATTTAACTACTCCTGCCCTTGAATAAAAGGTACTTTCCAG